TCTTATTTACATTTTATATACATCAATAATTATGTCTTTTTCTTTCTCTGTTCTAGCCAATTATAACATTTATTCCAAATTTCATAAAATTCTGACGTCNTGATAGCGTCAATTTGCAATTTCTGTTCCATAATCTTTCCCATTCCTCTAAATTTATATTTCGCCCCACATTTCGTGCCCACGCTATCATTGGCCCCTTCACTATTTCTTCTTCTAACTCTATCTCTAATAGGTATTTATAAATTTTTGATAATAGTTTTCCTTCCTTACTTATTAGAATTTTATCAAGTTGGTGTGGGTTAACTGTCTCTCTTGCTTGCCTTGTTTTATTTCCTCCAGGGCCTAATTTTGTGTTCAGGTTTTATCACATCTGGTAAGTGCATTTCAGGAAGCTGATTTGGGGTTCATAAGAGTTGCAATTTATAAAAACATGTTTTCTACCTTAGAAGTATACTTTTGTTCTGCCTGTTTATTTATTTATTTATTAGATTTATGTGCTGCCCATCTTTTTTGCTTTGAGTCCACTGCTGATGCTCTGCTGTGTTTTATTAATTTATGGGAGTTGCTGATCAGGTCCTGGTTCACTTCTCCTGGAGATAGCCCTTGGAAGGGCAGGAAACAGGCAGCTGCAGTCACTGAGAGCAGCCTCCATCATAGGCCAGCCCAGGGAGCAAGCAGAGAGGCTGAAGCCCAGCCCTCCAGGAGGCCTATGTTCAGGGCTGGCCTAATTTATTCTTTGGAACCAGCTCTTTTTTCTCCTTGAATGGATGCATGTGCCTTTTGTAGTCTTATGAATAACACTAAGTCCACCACCAATGTGCTTCTGCCAGATTAATGTCTTTGCCCCCTTTAGCAACCTGAAGACACTAGTTAGAAGGAGATCCAACTTGGAAATAAGGATGACATTCCTGACAGTGAGATAACAGTTAAACTTGCTTCCTGGAGTTGTGAGCGCTCTATTGCTGGAGGTTTTCAAGAAAAGATTGGTCAAGCATTATGTCTGAGATGGTATGAGGACTTCTGCCTTGCATAGGGATTGGATTAGAAAACCTCCAAGGTCCCCTCCAGCTTTATGGTTCTGTGATAAGTGTCGCTGAGAATTTAAAACCATCCTGGAAACAATGTATGGGGGATGTGATCAAGGCTGTGACAAAGAGCAGGAATAACATCCCCACTTGTATCCCTTTTCAGGAGGGAGGGTGGGGGAAGCATGTGATGTTCCTGCAGGTTGAGTCATGTGTCCTATTGGGACTTTAGGGAGGTAAGATGGATTATTCAGATCCCTCCTTAGCTGTTTTGTGTGATACTGAATTGTCAGGTCCCAGCAACCCTGACTGTGTATATGCCTCCCTCGTGCTCAAGAAAGTTACAGCAACCCTCCCTTTTAGACCAATATTCTTGGCCAGTTGCAGTTCAGAACCAGCTTCAGTAACAATCCTGCAGCAAGCCAGCCCATCATCCCCACTGACTGAGCCACTCATCAGGCAGTACATAAACAGCAGTGGCTGGACAATGGTCTGGACTCCGTTTGGTTGACTGTGGGGCAGTTCATATTTTGGGCTGCTTTTCTTGAATTTTGGATGTAGGTATTGTGTGTGTGTGTGTAAAGTAGAAGGACAACAGTTGCTTGCAGAGCTGCTGTTTTAACAGAGAAGCTTTCTGGATGGGTTTGTGGCTCAGTCAATGCCCCCCTCTTATAGTGTGAGTAGTTCCCCTCCTCTTCCCACTTCTGAGACAAATCCTTGCTTTTAAATGCTGCCAGAGGGAGGGTGGCTGATCCCTGCTTAGGACAAGAGGAACTTGCCAGCCCTCCTGGCATAAGCCCCCCTCCCCAGCCATGGGCAAGGAGGTTGAAGCCCTTTAGAGGAATGTTGGAAGGGGCCGCTTTCCTGATAAACATCCAGTCCACCAGGGGAAGGGAGAGACCCTGTTCCCCAAAGTCTTAATTTACCATCGTGGGAATGCATTCTTTATTGTGCTGTATTCCAAATTTAATCCTGAAATATCACATAACTAAACAATATTTATTAAATAAGGCGAAAGACATTGGTGAAGATAATTTAGCTGAGTTTAAAATAAATTAAATAAATAAAGTTGGTTTGTACAAAAAGGTGCAAGGTTTTTTAAGATGTTCCTTTAGTCAAGACTCTAGAGTCTAGACTACTGTATTAACAACAAAACCCTACCTGATAGTCATTTGTTGTAAGCTCTCCAGAGTCACACTATCAGAGATGGGTGGCCATATAAATTCTTTAAATAAATAAATAAATAAATAAATAAATAAATAAATAAATAAAAAGATAGTCTGGGATGCCCTCTTAAGGAAGCTTGGCCTGGGAGGACAGCTCTTAGTGGGGCAAGACTTCATGTGGTGTTGAGTAGCCGCTTGGTGAGCATCCCCTCCCTTTGTTGCACAGAGCCCAGCCAAGACAGCACCATTCTAAACCAAGAGCAGATTCTCTACCCCCCACATCCTCAACCCAGAGTCCTTCATGAAATCCGGATGGCTAAGGCTTGGGTCTTTATCACTGCTTCAGTTCCTTCCTAGGTGAGGACTCCAGACAGACCTCTAACACCAGTCCCCTCCTGTTTAGGAATGGCTGGACCTGGATCTTTGCAGGCCAGCAGCGTGGTCACTGCACAGCTTCTCCATCAGGAAAATCAGCGAACGGGCAGCTCCTGCAGATTTTTGGAAAAGCAAAACTGGGCAGGAGGAAGTGATTTGGATGGAGCCTCATTCCAGTTGCAGCTCTGGGCCCTTTGGATTGCACCCAGGCACCCATTTACCAACTGTTGCAGAGGATACAATAATGCAGGTCTTTTTTCTACTAGAAACCTCCACTCTCCCCTTTCGTAGCACAGCTCTCTGCAGACTTGTTCACATTTTCTTGGGCTCTTTCTCGTGTGCAAGGCCCTTTTTGTCTTCCTTTCCTTTTCAGAAAAAAAGGGAGAGTGAGCTATACTACAGGTGTTCCTTGCTTAATGACTGCCCTGTTTACCAACTATTCAAAGAGATGATGGTGCTAAAAAAGTAACTTTACGACCAGTCCTCACATTTATGTCTGTTGCAGTGTCCCCACCCACGTCCTTGAGATTTGGACACTTTGCATCTAGCGGGCAGTTACAATTATCACAGTGTCCCATGGTCATGAGACCACCATTTGTGAGCTTCCCAGCAGTTTTATACAAGCAGAGCCAACGGAGAAGCTGGCAGTAAAAATACAGGCTGTGGTCACATGATGGCCTGTTTAACTACCACGTCACTTAGTGACGGAGTTGCTGGTCCCAACTGTGCTCATTAAGTAAGGACTGTATTTGTTTCCGTTTCTGCATTTGGAATGCACAGTTTCTCCAACCTCATAGATGGGAGAATGCCATTTTCAATGTTTGAGCTATGACCAATGAAAAGAAGAGAAAATGTAATGAGGCTATCAGGAGCTTTGCCTCCTGGATCCCTCTCCCCTTCTGTACACTCAGTTCTCTGCAGGGTTCTGCCCTTGTGGATCCTGGGGAGGAGGCGGACCTCTCATATCCAGCACCGAGAAAGAAAGCTCTGGGGATGGGATTCCAGATCAGCTGTCACTGGAGGGGAAGTGGAACAGCAGGTATGTCTCTTGTTCAGAGAAGCCCAGTCCCTGAGCTGACTTGCAGGGCAATTCCTATGGTCCCACAACATCCAAGGACATGCTGCTTGTGAATTGCTCTTTCTCCTGATCCACGCGATGAAGAAAGTCCTTTGGGAGAGCAATCCCCTGCAAGCCAGGGGGGTCTCCGAGGAAGGTCTGCTTCAAATAGCCAGCAGGCAGACTAGGATGAGAAAGCGTCTCCCCATTCATGCTGGAGGGAGGCCTCAGGCAATCCTCAGGATCCAAAGGAGCCCCTGACTGTTGCCTGTACCCAGAAAAATGGGCCTGAGTCACATCCTTGGATGGTAACCCCTCACCCAGTTGCTTTTTTACCCCAAAACTGCCTGCTTCTTTCTTTATGCCCGTCTTTTGACCAATGTGCAGGGTGAAGTGCAGATTGCCCACACTGCCAGAGGTTTCCCGCAAGCAGATGCCACTGTCTGCACTGCAGCCACTGCCTTCCTTCGGCCCTCTGCCCTCTTCCCGCTGGCAGTTCCTCTCTGGAAGCACCACTCCAGTGCAATGACTCCCTCTCCTCTCCAAGTGTGCATGATCCTGTGGACCCAGGAAGAATAGCTGCTGGATGGACTCAGTCTCCAGGTGTAGTATGCGGCTTTCACTTTCTTCCATCAGCCCCCAGCAGAAGCTGTGCCCAAGGGGAGATTTCTGGTATCCAAAAGAAAAGAGGGGGGAGAGTCAGCCTGCAGAGCCTCCTGGCAGCCCAGATAGTGGTCATTCTAGCTTTTCCAGGAATCTCACCCAATTCATGAGATTCTTCCCAGAAAGAAGATTCTTCCCCCCTGCTTTTTTCAGGCAGACAACAACCCCTTCCAGGGGAAAGAAGAGTCAGCAGTGGACAATGACTGAATCAATCAATCAGAATAGAGCTGGAAGGGACCTTGGAGCTGTCTGGCCTGGGCTATGGAGATTCAGATCCCTCCTCTATAGCTGTGGATTGATCATCCTCTCTTAGCTTCAGGTAGCATGCTAAGCTGTGATTTGTCTAACTACAGCTCAGTCACAGCTGACTGAGCCCAAGTCAGATGCACCCCATTATGGTTTAGCAAATCTTGTGAACAGCTGCAGTCTTAATCTGGACAATGGAAATATAATAACTAATTTTATGAGGTCTGTGATGGTAGTTGTTTTTTTTGACAAACATTGGCTTGTAAGGGGAAGTTTAAAGGAAGTTGACAGTTTGAGTAAGTCATTGTTGGGGATGGCAAAATACCCTGGAAATGGGGGGGGGGGCTCTCGCCCTTTGAACAGCGGATACAATTCCTTGTTTGAGAGTTTTTGAGGGGCTGGGATTTGGACATCAAAGAACTTTCCTATTTGCTTCTCTGAGGGCCCGCTGGTTTGGAGAAGCAGTGGTTATTTTGGGGGGTGGAGTCTTACCAGGACTGAAGGCATCCTTGTGGGCTTCTTCTTGTAGGCAGAGGCCAAGCCCAGCCCTGCACCCAGAATTCCAAGACTTAGAAGACTCAGGAGGGCCAAACTCGGGGTAAGGACAATGTGCTCTGCAAAGGAATGTCCCCACATGTGATTTATCAGGGTAGGCCATTCATCCAAGATAGGCAGTGCTGGGCAAATTGTGCCCTCTCTCTCTAGCCACCACATGTACCAGCAGTTGTGTAGGAAACAACCAACAGCTTGATCCAAAAAGACACAGACACCAAGAGTGGTTATCATATTTAGGACAGTAAAAGAACTAGGAAGATCCTAATGCTGGGGAGCTAGATAAAGGCCACTCCCCGTTAGTCTTGGGCTGAGACCAATAGAGCCCCTCCCCACTCAACCAGTTTCTAGTCTAGAAATACCAAAACCAAATTGTATCTCAAAGCTGCTCAGAGGCCTCCAGACTTTTAAAGATGGACCAACAGAGGGTTGCCTATCAGATAAGCTTTCTTTCTCTCTCTCTCTCTCTCTCTCTCTCTCTCTCTCTCTCTCTCTCTCTCTCTC